ATCGATGGGTTCAGGGTTCGAGTCCCGATGGGGACACCATCACGCATTGCAAGTACCATCTGACTGACGAGTCCAAAATATGACGAAATACTCCTCCTGAATTCCACTGCTGCTAGTCATTCTTGACCAAAATAATATCTATGTTTATAGTTTGTTTTGCATGTCTTTCAATGTTCTTTGTGTTCATATATAGAATTGAATTGAAATAACTTTTCACTTTACGCATTATTCATGTGAATAATGTTGTAGTTTAATTTTTGATAAATTTGTAAGTATTGTGAAGTGTGTGTGTGTGGAAAAAAGTAGTTGTAGATATATATATATATATATATATATATGATAGCATTCTTATTCATTTTAATTTAGATGAGCTTTTCTCTGTAGGTTGGATCGATATAAATTCTAATTTTTGGACACATTTAATTAAGTAATAGACAGTGTTTCTAGACTCTGTTTTGATGGCATGTGTGTGTGTGTGTAGGGTAGTGCAGTGTATGTGAAAGTGTGATTGTATACTAGTTACGAATGTCACAATTAGGTCTGTGTGTCTGTCTATTTTCAACATAGAAAATTGCACCGATGTGCAGCCGATGTCCAGTCGCCACACTCACTAGAATTACCACACAAAGCAAGAGAAGAAAGTAGAAGAAATGCAAAATAGAGACAGTAGACAGGGATATATGAGACAAAGGAATAATGTTGAAAAACAATATAGTTTTATTGGATGTTTTAAGTCACAAGGAGTGGATGCATCTGCGTCAGGCCAGCCATTGACAACGATTTTCAGCCATATCAACGTCCAGAGAATCCCAACTAACCAGGACGTCTACACCTCCCTACGTGGCTGGCTGGTTTAAACTAACTGTTATGAATTTCATTGACTGATGAAGGCATGTTTTGGTTTGACCACACCACTGACTTTCTCTTTTCCAAGCTGATCCATCATATGTCAGCTAACATTGCACGCCGAGGAAGGCGATGGCTAGTGATGCATGTGTAACACATATCCTAGCCGTCTCAGTCGATGTAGCTTCATAGCCTCGTCGATTGATTTCCCCTCCCACCTACCTAGCACTCTACTGAACCCTCACTTCAATATTGCTCACCCTATTATACCACTTCACACGGGAGGGAGATAGAACGCAGGCACATATGATCAATGCCAACTAGCCGGGCTTTTCATGTCTTTCAATGACCAGGTCTCACAGCTAACCATAAAGGAGGATGGAGCTGACTTCTGAGCAGTACACACGCCCTTTGGTCGACAGACAGCCGGCCAAATATCACGTCAACTAAGCCAGAGACGGTGTAAACTGGCATATGCGAAACTAGTCACAATTAGGTGGTGTGTTTGACTGATTTTTTCGTTGTTGTGTGTGTTGTCAGTACATTGATGTACTTCACTTTCTCAGTTTTTCGCCTCCCGAGGAGAATATAGGACGTCAAGCTCGTGGTATTTTAGTTTCAGTAGCGGTGTTGTTTTTGTTCCCGGAGATGGAGTCGTTAGCTTCGTTATCCAACCTCCTATGTATTCCGAGTGTACTACCGGTTAGGCGTTGTCTCGGAATGGATCGTCTTGTGTGTGAATTAAAAGTAGAGGGGGTCGTCTCCCGTATGACAGCTGGCGAGCATTTTAACCACAAAAGCATTGTGATGCATGTGAGCATTAATATAGCATGCAACCCTTTTTATCACATCTTCCACATAACTATTAATTCGCTTTTCATGCCATTATCCTTGACAGATTTGTCAACATAAAATCACGAGAACACCACCATCATCATCATCATTGTCAGAGTATTTGATAGACTGGGTATCCGGAATACAGTTCATACACTTGTTGATATGTGCTTCAAATACCAAGGGGAAAAGTACTTATTTATACAGTAATGTGTGGCTAATTCGTCACCAGTATTTAGTTTAGTTGTAACTAAGTGTTACCCGGAACAGATATTTTTCCCATATATTGAGCTATAAAGTGATGTCGGTAGTTCCATTGGTAGAATTCTTGTGGTCCAGGTCCGATTCCTGGTTGTTTCCTTCCTAAACCCCACTTAGTTGATAGTAAGCCTAGTAAGTAGGGAATGTTGAACACGGATGCGGAAGGCTGATTTCTAACTTGCCAGCCAACCTACGCCATCTCTGGCTTAATAAACGTGATTTCCGGTTGGCTATCGATGAAAGGAAGTGTGTACTGTACAGCAGCAGTTCGCTTCGTTCTCCTATGTGGGGCTGGCTGTGAGTGAGAAATGCACATGTAAAGTGAAAGGTATGAAAAGCTTGGCTAGTTGTCGTTGATAACAGCTGTCTGTGTCCTGTCTCCCATGTTAAGAGGTATAATAATTATTATTATTATTTCCTTTAATTCCTAGAGGAACATAGGGCTTTAGCTGCGCACCTCCATTGCCCTCGGTTTTCTGCTAAAGTTTTCACCTGGCTCCAGGTCTGCCCACATGCTTTCATCTCCTCTTCACACGACCTCCTCCAAGTCACCCCACCCTCTCACTGACGACCAACTCACCGCTTCCCTTTCGGGTTCCACTTGAGCGATGTCACTCACCTGATGGTTTTCTCAGAGTATGGCCAATCCGCTTGGATTTCTTCCTTCATATTTGTTGCACAATCGGTTCCTCGTTGGTTCGCTCATTGCCAGAGATCCCTCACTATTGCTGATCTTTTCTGGTCATCTCATCTTGAGTAATGAGCAAAGACAACTGTTAATGAAGGTCTGAAGTTTGTTTGAGATGCTCTTTATGACGCGCAGTGCAAGTCTCTGATACGTATAATAAGTAGCACTGACTGACTTCACATTGGAGTTGAAAATCTGGATCTTATTTTTGATCCTGAGTGCTGTTCATCTCCACACAAACTTGAGAGTAATGAAAGCCTGTCTTGCTTTCACTATCCTTGCTTTGATATCCTAATCATCAGTCCGCCTGTAGTTGAAGCATGTTGTTTCTTTCAGGTTCCTCCCATTTATGCTGACTGATTGTTGTCTGTTGTTATTGCTGTGGCTGTTGGTGTTGGCCAGGAATCTTCATCGCCTCTGTTTTCTCTGTGTTTACTTGGAGTCCTATCTTTGATGCTTCTTCAGCCAGTAGTGTGATAAATATTGAGGTTAAGCGGGGAGTTCTAGTTAGGTAAGAAGGAAAAATCAATCGACGAGGTTGTTAAGCAGCAGGATCGATTGAGATGGTTAGGATATGTGTTACGCATACATCCCTAGTCATCGCCTTCCGCCACAGGCAATGTTAGGTGACACAGGATCAGGTTGTAAAAGAGCTAACTGGTGGTCAAACGAAAACATGGCTTCATCAGTCCATGAAGTCCACAACAGCAGTTAGTATAAAGCAGGAAAGAAAAGGGTAAGCTGACTGTCTGACCGGTTGGCGTCATCGGGTTGGTAAGAGCCATTAAAGGCTGGAGACAATTGGTGGATATGTCTGGCTGTATATTTCACTCCAAACGCAAAGCTAATAAAGTAGGTTATAAGTCATACTTATTGTCTAAATGTTAGTGATGCTATCTAGTTTTGTCTTCTACCCCCAGGGCTAAAGTAGATTAAGTAGCATAATTTGAACTGGGGATCTGTTTGCTTAAAGGTGAGGATGTGGTTCATTGGCTTTAGCGCTCGACTTTCAGTTAACTGCTCCGAAGTTGGAATCTCGAACCACCTACTTTAGTCTGGGCAACCGGATAATAGTATCACATCAGCTCCCACACAGACAACAAATGTGGCGCATACGCTGCCACATGAAACACCTGTCACGTGCAACGGACTTCAGACAAAAAATGCATTTCTGGTGTTTAAAATGCTCTCTCTATATGCAGAATATAACGAGAGAAGACAAGGACCAGGCAATAGATCGTTTATTGAGAAAATCAACAGATATTACATTTTTATGTACATTATTATTCGTTATTTTTAGCAGAGAGGTAATGTCTTCTGATTGGTTGTTTCCCTACTGAAGGTTATTCTGTCATCTCTTTGTTGCTGTTTCCTAGACAATCAGCCCATATATCTGCTAATCGTATTCGCCCACGCTAAGTCTGCTGTGATTGGTGGTTGAGTTAGTCTTTGTTTTTTCTCATGACCAAGATTTGGGATGTAAACATTGATATAAATTGCTGTCTACCAATTTTGGCTAGCAGACAGTTCTCACCACACTCGTCCCCCCACCCGTCAAAGACTTGCGACTGAAGTTGATTCAATCTTCTTGGTTCTGGTGGCTTCATTCGTTTTTCTTGCTGTCTGAAATTCCGGCGGTCGCTGAAGTGTAGGTTTACAGGAATTTGAATGAATACATGTTTGATCACAAGTTGACATCTGTCAGGGAACCAGTGGAAAACCAGGGAGTACTGAACAGCTGTCCCATTCCAGTTTGGGACCGTTCAGCAGTACTCACCCTCAGTAGTTAGGACCCCAAGACTTTCGGTTACAAGGAGAAACCGTTGACGTTTCAGCCACTGGAAGCTAATCCAATGGTTTGTGAATTCCAACTTTGGGTTTAGGTGGCGGAATGGTTTATGAGCTTGCCGGCAGGTACTAGGTTTGAACCCCGGGGTGCGCAAAAGAGACGAAGCAGTTGTTCAGTACTGTCTAGTTTTTTCCAGTGGTTCTCCAACTGGTGTCAACTGGTTGACAAAGCTATGCCGTAGTAGTTTTGTGCGCCCTCAGTAACACAACAGGCATTTGACTCATTGCTAATTTAATGTGGGAATTCAACAGTTAATTGTTGAGTAAATATGCTTTTTAATTATAATATTTAAAACGGTGTATTGTAGTAGATGAAGGCAAGTTAAAGAGTGTGGGATTCGCCAATAGAGGGAGGAACGTGTGTATCCGTCACGCCTGGCCAAACGGATAAAATCTATACTTATTCTATAAATATCCTATCCATAGACAATTTAATAACATGTGTTGTTGTTTTATATCTCTTTCTTTTTCTCTCTACCATATTTAATTCCTGTATCAAAATAAAATAAAACAACTAAAATAGGCTGTTGAATTACGAAAGAAATGGATTCAATATAACATGCCCAATGCTATTGACTGTAAGCCTTTTTCACGTCTGCGCCTAATTGATGCTGAAAGAGGATATGAACGTCAAGGAAGGTAAGTATACTTACATATGTGTGTGTGTGTGTACATGTATATTTGATTTTACCTTATGATTTCTACCTATTGGATACTTCATTATGATTTGTGTTGGTTTACTTTTTTGTTTCCATTGCTAGTCAGGTTTATATTGATATCCGTATTATTATTGCAATAATAAAGTTGCATCAACCAGCCCAACGGGTCGATTGCAGACGAAATCTCAGCACGCATACAGACGGCTAGTTTCGCATATTCCCGCCAATTTTTTACGCCATCTCTGGCTTAGACGTGAGATCCGGCTGTCTGTCGACCAAAGGGTATGTGTACTACTCAAAAGTCCGCTCCGTCCTCCTTTATGGCTAGCTGTGAGACTTGGCCATTGAGAGTGGAGGATATGAAAAGATTAGTTGTCTTTAATCATAGGTGCCTGGGTTCTGTCTCCCTCCCCTGTGAAGTGATATAGTAGCGTGAGCAATATTGAGATGAGGCATTGGTCGAGTGCTAGGTAAGGAGGAGAGGAAATCAATAGACGAGTCTGTGAATCAGCTGCATCGACTAAGATGATTACGCATACCTAGCCATTGTCTTCCACGATGGGCAATGGGGTCATGTTGCTAAAGAGAAAGCCAGTGGTGATCAAACCAAAACATGATCTCATCAGTGAATGAAATCCACAACAGTGAGTTTAAACTGGCTACGTGGGAAGGTGTAGACGTCCTGGTTAGTTTAAGTCCTTGTGACGTAAAACCCAATGAAGGCTGGAGACAACTGGTGGTGATATAGCTCAAAGTTCTCGTTGTCACTGGCTGGCGCAAATGCATCCATTCCTTGTGACCTAGAATACCCAATAAAACTATATACCCAATGCCCGAATTTTTTCAAACCGTTAAAAGTGAATTTGGTTTGGACATATACTATTACTACTGTTTTTGTCTCATATCTCTGTTTACTGTTTATATTTTGTATAGGGCTTCAACACCACATCTCCATTTCACCCTGTTCCGCACAGTCTTTCTTTTTGCTGGCTTTATGATTGTCCATAGTCTACCATCTCTTCCATGTCACACGTAAACTCATGTTTAACTCGCTATTTCTCATTCGGGTTCCATTTGGGGGTCAGTATGGTGTGGGATGTCACAGGAAGCTGTGTGTTACGCACGCCTAGTCATCGCTCCCCTCGACAGTCAATGTTAGCTGACATTTGATGGGTCAGGTTGGAAAAGAGAAAGCTAGTGGTGGTGAAACCATAGAGGTAGACGGAGCGGACTGCTGATTAGTACACAAATCCTTTGGTCGACACACAGCCAGATATCATGTTTACTCCAGAGAAGGCGTAAACTGCCATATGCGAAACTAGGCTTCTGTATCTGTGCTGAGATTTCGTCAAAGATCAAGCCGTTGGGCTGGCTGATGCAACTTCCCAAATAAGTGAAGTGGTCACTCCCTATCTCTAAGTTACGAGTCAGTGTAGTCCAGTCCTGTAGCCCGTTGGTAATATGGAGGAGATCGTGTGTGTGTGTGTGGACGAAACGAAAGCTTGTCGGCAGTCATGAAGCCAGTTAAAAAAGAGAACCGAGTGAAATGAAGAAGTACTGCTGAAGCCCCTGTGTATTCGACTATTAGCCCAAAGTAGTAATAATGAAAGCAGCTTTCTTCCAGGCAACATGTTTGCTTATAGTATAAGGAATGCTATTTTCATTGGACACCGGTAACTGGTGTGACGTTTCTAGTCCTTTCTTTGGTGCAGACTGAATTCCACTAGTCAAGTTTACGTTGTGGCCACCATTCTATCATGAAATCGATGTGCACTGTGATGGCGAGCTACCTAGAATGGTGGCCACATTGTAAACCTGACTGATAGAATTCAATCTGCACCAAACAAAGGACTAGACACGTCACACTAGTTACTAGTGTTCAATGAAAATACCCACTACAGTCCTACAGGAGGTCAATCACGAGCCAGCCCGAATAGCTTAGTGGTGGTAACGTCTCTGACTGCGGCACTGGGTGACGCGGATTTGAATCTCAGAAGGAATGAGATGAGTTCCTTCAAGGTTGGAAATACGCCTTGCTGACTGACTGTAAAGTGCCAGCTAGTACGAAACCTAGGTCCCAGCAGGGCTTCCTGTGACCGATTGCCTCCAACTATCTAATATCATAAGGAACACTAATTCGTGTAGTTCCTAGGACAAAACTGGTTGAATAAAGTAATTAGAAATTAGACGAAATTGATCACTTACGCTTAGAGGGTAACTTAAGTAGACCACTTCAATCGACTAAACTTCAAACCATTTGATTATAACTTCTACCCATTAAAGTTTCTATCTAAAAGGCTATCTCTTATGTAACAATCTCCATATAATTACTACTATTTATTTGATTGCATGGAGGATTTCACTATGAGCTGACATCAGTTAGAGAACCATTGGAAAACAAGCTGGGAGTACTGGACAGCTGTTTCCATTGTCCTAGTTTGGGACTCTTAATCAGTACACACCCACCGCCAGGGTTCGAACCCAGGACCTTCTGGTTACAAGGCGAGCTCGTAAACCATTGAGCAATTGGGACCCGATCCAATGGTCCTTGAATGCTAACTTCTGCCAATTCACGACATAGCGCCACCACTTCTCAATGTCTTCTTCGATGAGTTACTGCCTCATTTTCAACCTGCTTTTTATTTATTTATTTTTAGATATCTGTCTCGTCTATTCGGAACCCAATGGTATGAATATTGGGAATTTCTAGATGATTTTATTGATTTAAACACTGAAAAGGGCTTGTCTACTTTAGAAGATTATTTATCTAACCATCAACTTTTGAAAAATAAACGTTCTTCAACATTGAACAATTGTAATGCGGATGCTTTGAATGCTAATAATAACGAAAATTGTAATGGATCAAATCATTGCAATGTCATTGATGAAATCAATTTTTCTCTATCGCCTACATCTACTCCACTTTTTAATCAAAATAATAATCAGGATGATGATGATGATGATGATGTATTCCCGTGTGAAGGAACACCAATAAGGCGATCAACAGCATATGTGAATAATACTACTGTTAAATCAAATATTGATTTAAACAATGAACGTTGGTTATCTTATCGACAAAAAAGAGGATGTATACATGATTTAAATGATAGTTTAGAAGAAAGTACAGATCAATCAAATTCAAGTATTTTATCACATGGGTAAGTTTGAATAAAAGTTCATTTATTATTAATTATTACTATTGTATTATTCAAGTGTTATAAGCGTGATTCAATGTACCAAGATTTAAAATTAGCGCTTAGTTGGCGTACAATCAGTTAAACAAACAAAATATATGGAATTAAATGTGTACAATTTTGTTGACTTGTATTATTAACATATTTACTGATAGAGAATGTCTTAGAAGTGATCACTACCAGTAGTAGCCTTCTATTATTATTATTATTTCCTTTAATTCCTAGAGGAACATAGGGCTTCAGCCTCCCTCCTCCAAGTCCCCCTTGCTTCCCTTTCGGGTTCCACTCGAGCGATAACTTGTCTAGTGATGTCATTTGAGTATGGCCAGCCAATCCATCTCCATTTCTTCCTGCCTATTTGCTGCACAATCGGTTCCTGCTGGGTTGGTTCGCTCCCAGAGATCCCTGTTTCTGATCTTTTCTGACCGGCCATCTGATCTTGAGTATTGAGTGAAGACAGCTGTTAATGAAGGACTGTAGTTTGTTTGAGGTGATCTTTATGATGCTCTGGCCAAGTCTCTGATCCGTACAGTGAGTAGCAATGACTGACTTCACATTGGAGTTGAAAATCCGGACCTTATTTTTGATGCTGAAGAGTGATGTTGACGTCCACACAGACTTGAGAGTAATGAAAGCTTGTCTTGCTTTCCCGATCGTTGCTTTGATATCCTCTTCAGTTCCATCCACCTGTAGTTGAAACGATGCTTCCCAGGTAGACAGGTAGGTAAAGGAGGATGTGTCTTTCAGATTTACCCCATTTATGCTGGCTGATTGTTGTCTGTTGTTGCTGTTGGTGTTGACCAGGAATCTTCATCACCTCTGTTTTTTTTCTATGTTCACCTGAAGTAAGTTCTATCTTTGACGCTTCTTCTGCCAACTTGTTGCTTTTCACTTGCATATCTTCCAGTTTGCGGGAAATCAGACATATATCATCGGCGAAGTCCAGAATCTCCAAGTTTCTCTTTGAGTGGGTCCATTTTATGCCTGTTTCCTTGTTGCCCGCCGCTGTCTGTTTGTCTCATTATCCAATCTACCGCAATAAAGAAAATCATTGGTGATAGTAGACAGCCAGCCAACCTTGCTTGACTCCCGTCCTCACTTCGAAGCATTCTGTAAGTTTCCCGTTGTGGATTACTTGGCTGACATGCAGCATTGTCGTATAACTGTTGGATGATATGTATAATTGTCGATGGCACCCTGTAGTAGCGAAGTAGTTGCCAAATCACCTCTCGATCGACGCTGCGCTATCGTAGGCCTTTTCAAAGTCGCTGAAGTTGAGATAGAGAGGTGACTGCCATTCCAAGTTTTTTTCAATGATGATCTGTAGTGTGGCAATTTGATCAATACATGACTTGTTTCTCCTGAATCCGGCCTGTTCCGGTCGAAGTTTTTCATACACAGTGGCTTGTTTGATTCTCTCCAGGATGATTCGGCTTAGTATTTTGCTTGGGATGGACAGGAGAGGGTCTACTGGATCAGTAGGCTTCTATAAACTCACATAATAATTAATGCGGAAATAAATGTATACAATATTTAGCCATAGGTATATGCCAAACCAACCTTTTGTATCCATGCTGAGATTTCGTAAGCGATCATCCCGCTGGGGTTGGCTGATGCAACTTCCCAAATAAGTGATGTGGTCAACACGCTCCACCAACCACTTCACTCCTGCCAATCTTTAAGCTAGGGGTGAGTCGATATAGTTCAGTACAGTTCTGTAGCATCATCTTTCATTCGACAAGAGTGCGCGAATAGCATGCCATATATTCGAAAATTGTTGCTCTGCATTTTGTCACTGTCTTCACTTAGAAGGACTATATCATCTGCATATTCCAAGTTAATGAGATTATTCCCTGATGGTGACAAGTCAATCCCTGTGTCCCTGAAGTGAGTTAGCGTTAAGTCCATCAAGTACATCTATGATGAAGTTGAATAGAAAAAGGGATAATGGGCATCCTTGACGGACACCACTAGTCGTCACTAGTTCAGATGGCAACTCGCCGTAAGCCCTCACCTTGCTGCTTGAGTTCGAGTAGAGTGCCTTGATCAATGCAATGTATTTTCTCGGGATTCCCTTTATAGCCAAGCATCGCCAGAGTACCTCTCGGTTGACAGAATCGAATTCCGCCTTAAGGTCAAGAAATATCATGATTGTTGGACCCCTGGTAGGAATTCCTGTTCTAGAATCTGTCGGAGGGTGAAGATATGATCAATACACCCTCTTCCTGGTCTAAAGCCTGCCTGGCTCTCTCGTGTTTGTGCCTCTCGAGCACCACTTAGTCTACGCATGATTATTGAGCCTAGGACATTAGATACTATATTAGTCAAGCTAATCCCTCTGTGATTATCACAGGAAGACTTGTCTCCCTTCTTGTATATGGGGATAATCGGTGACTTACACCAACCCGATGGGACTTCCTCTGATTCCCAGACGCTGCCTAGAACCTCAGTTAATGCAGACAGTAAACTGTCTCCATCGTACTTAAATACCTCTGGAGTCATTCCATCAGGTCCCGCCGCTTTGCCTCGTTTCAGACTAGTGACAGCTTTAGTAACCTCAGTTAGGGACGGAGGACCTATGTCTATGTCCCATTCAGGGAGGTGTTGGATGTTCGGCAGGTTGAGCGTGGTTGTAGACCAATTAAACTGCTCCTCATAGTGTTCTTTCCAGCGTTCCAGTCGTCTATCCTGAGAGCTAATTATGGTGCCATTTTTCTCACAGATTGTTTCACTAATCATTGCCTTTTTCACTTGTTTCCCTGATAAATCTAAATCGTTGTCTGGTGTTACCAATCGCCGAAGCTTTCTCCATCTCTTTGGCTTTTGTCGTCCACCCCTGTTCACGGTCGCTGCGAATGCTTCTTGTTAGTTTTCGTTTGGGCAGCTTTCGCTCCTCATCATATTCGAAGCTGTCTGGGATCAGTCTTCTTGTGTCAATCAGTTCGGATGAGGTGGTAGAAATCCAATGGCTCTTACTAACTTTAGGTTTCAGGTTATTAACAGCTGTGTCTACAGTTAATTGTGTGTTGTGCCAGGCTTCCTCAGGAGGAGTCCTGCTGTCGACCTCTGATACTCGTTCCTCTATATCCTCCTTTAATAGGGACTCAGGTTAGTGGGGTAACTGTTTCGCTGCCAGCAGTTTCTTATATCCGTTTAGTCGTAAACATAAACGTGCGCGGACCAGAGCGTGAACGGAGTCTACGCACGTGGCAGTCTTCGGCTCACCCTCGCCAACGATACCCTATCGCTACGTGGTCTACCTGAGTCCAACCTTGATTTGGTCATGGAAGTGCCTAAAGTTAGTGCTGACTCGAAACAGGTGACTACCTGGACAGAATTGTAGAAGACGATCACCATTGTCGGTTCAGTGGTAGGGAACTCCGTAGCCACCACCACTTCTCAATCTACCATAACTCCCCTACTTGGGCATTGAAGTTGTCTACTAAAACAACTATATCTGAGAGTTTTGTTCTTTGTAGCAAATTAGACAGTTTTTGATAGAAATTATCCTTTTATTCATTCGAACTGCAGTCGGCTGGGGTGTAAGCGGAAACGCCATCCTTCTTCTTCTGACGGACCTTTTCAGACGGATCGCACAAATACGACTATCTACTGGGATCCAGTCAAGAAGTGATTTGTCAATCCTAACGTTCAATGCTATCCCTACACTTGCGAGTCCTCGCGAAATAGCTGAAGAATCTCCTGACACCCCTAAGGTCAATTTCGCAGAATCACCTTGTTCGCCGCCAGGTGGGGTTAAGTGGATGACTATACTCGGGTCTTGTATGCATGTCTCCTAAACACAACTCACGTCTATGGCTGGAGATGCCAGAGTTCTCGCTAGTGATGCCTGTTGTTCGATTTGACAGAGTTCTGACGTTAAATGCTCCTATATGAAGTTGGCGACGTGGCTTAAAGAAGCTGTCGGGTTTTTCCTATGGCTCTCATCGTTATTTGTAGTCACAGAGTGAAGTGAAGATGACTCACTAGCCTGCAGAATAGTATTAACAGTAGGAGGAAGACAAGATGATGAGGATGACAGGAATAAGGGAGGATGGTGATCAGAAGGGATTCGTGTGCTTTTGGAAGTGTGTGGGCGGTTGTCACTTCCCGCCTGCCCACACCGTGGAAGTTGATTTATTCTTGGGGTACCTAAAACAAAAAGAGTAATAGTGTCGCGTGACCGCAGATCCCAGGGGACAATTGCTTGAGGCCGATCACACACACGGTCTGTCTGAACTGGCTTTTTGGTTCAGTTCCGTATTAGTTACTTACCACTGGCTACAAAATACCGTAGAATAAGTCGGAATGTAAGATTTTAGGGGTCAACTTTATGGCATGCTGGTCATCTGAAGGAAGCACCTTACTACTGTTACATCCCTGTTCCTCAGCAGTACAACTTTGCCCACAGACGCCCAGAAAGTCTTACACTATGCCGGTAACTGCTTTTAGTCTAATCACTATCCTAACAAGCCTTCTTGGCGTGGTAGGACCTGCAGGAACAATAGTTCCAGCCAGTGTAGCTTGTTGTGGATCATTGCGATATGCAAGCCCGGCGACCACCACGTCAAGGTATGTGTATATATTAAGTGTCGAGCTTAACATGAAACAGATTTTTTGTGTTACACTCTCATACTCACAGTCGTCCCTAACATTAGGCATTATTTCATTGTATAGACTGACTGATTGATTTCAACATAGAACTTCGCACAGAAGTGCACCATTTCGAGTTACCACACTCCATGGAATAGCACATAAAGAAAATTCAAAAGAACTAGAATGGTCAGAAATGTGCAGTAGGGGAGAACAGTAACAGGGTCCAAAAAATAAAAGTTTAATAGACATGTGAAATGAGCGAGGGAGAATACACCACGCCATTGAGGATGGCTTTGAACCATATTAGCAAGTGTCTCCAGTCATTGACTCTTTGCTATAAATGAACAAAAGGAGTGTACTTTAATTGAACTTTAGAGTACACTTAATTTATCGATTTCTGTGATCTTTCATTTTTCTTTTATTGGACTGAAATAACCAGTCTCTGTTGGTAAATAAACTCAAACAGACGTCTTAATTATTCATTTGGTCTTAATTTAATGTCCGCGATCGATATCTGCTACTCTACCGTGGTAGTCAGACAGGTTCACGTGTTTGATGAGTAAGCTATGCCGACCGAAGTGAGTGTATCTCTCCAAGTTGTGTGATATGGCAAGAAGGTCAATTAAGGTGTCAGCAAGGTCGAAAGTAGTTACTATATCTATCACAAGGAACTCTGTTTATAGTATTTTTGGGTTTTTATGAAACTTGGTACATCTGACAAAGAAAAATGTTTCTCTCCAGCACCTAGTGAGTTAACTTTACTCCCTCCTTGCACTTAGAAGGAGAGATTAGAACATTTTGGCTTAAAAAAGTTCGCATACCCCAACTCACACTATGGTGCAGGTAGGTAAGTAGTCTAATGCTGCTTCTAAAATTTCTGCACAAATGAATCCCTGAAATTCTTGTTACTTACAAACAGACTGTATTTACAGTTGTGAGTAGTCGTCACTTCGGCTATATTTGGTCATTTGAAGGGAGTATTTTTTTTCTCTTCCATGTAGAAGTCGGCTACTTCAGTGTAAGCAGAGAGGAACTACGAACTATTTCCTTCCTTCTCTCACTACTTATACTTTATCTCATTGAGTTCCTTGGTCTTACACAAAACTCTAAGCATCGATAAAATTACTTCGTATTTATTAAGACCGTATTCCCAGACTTACCTTCTAGAATCCAACGTTCAAACCTTACACGACATCAGATAACAAGTCTTGTCGGTTAAAACTTTGTACTCCTGGACTGAAGATGTGATTTATGTGCCTTAGACACACATACAACACCCATGTGTGGTTATTTATTCACCTGACCAACTTCTTGTGGACTTGTTACTACTTCTAAGTGCTGCAGCAAAAAATCCATTATCTGACTGGATTCCAGCAGGCATTCATTCGTGTCCCGTCCTGCTAGATGATAAAAGTCTACAAGAAGGACAGCTGCTCATACTCTTCCCTGGTGTAGACGTGATATCCGGCTATCGACCAAAGGGCTTGTGTACTGCTCAGAAGTCCGCTCCGTCTTCCTTTATGGCTGTGAGACCTGGTCATTGAGAGTGGAAGACATGAAAAGATTAGCTGACTTTGATCATAGGTGCCTGTGCTCTATCTCCCCCCTGTGAAGTGGTATAATAAGGTGAGCAATATTCATGTTAGGCCTCGGTCGAGTGCTAGATAACGAAGGGAAATCAATCGATGAGGCTGTGAAGCTACATCGACTGAGATGGTTAGGACATGTGTTACGTATGCATAGTCATCGCCTTCCTCGACAACTAACGATGTTAGCTGACACAGGGTCAGGGTGGAAAAGAGAAAGCCAGTGGTGGTCAAACCAAAACATCATTCAATGAAATCCACAACAGTTAGTTTAAGCCAGCCACGTAGGAAGGTGTAGACTTCCTGAGTGGCTGGTTGGGGTCCTCGGGACGGTAAAAACCGATGATTGGAAACAATTGATGATATGGCTCAAAGTGATCTTTCTCAATGGCGCAGATGCATCCCACTCTTTGTGACTTATGATTTCCAATGAAACTATATCGTTCTTCGTTATTACTATTCCTTTGTCTCACACCTCTGTTTACTGTCTCTATTATGCATTTCTTCTCTTACTTTGTGTGCTACATGGAGTGGAGTGTGGCGACTTGAACTGCCACAAATATGTACAAAGTCCTATGTCAAAAACAGACAAGACATACTCTTCCCCCTCCAACTACGCACGGTATTTTCATCATCATCAAGTTTACTGAAAAAAATACAGGCTAAGAATCAGGGGCGGTTTTAACGTCCAATCGATTAGTTATAATAACAAGGGCAGTATCCTGGTAAACGGTGGTCATCTTATTTTTTTGCCTCGTCTCCTATACAAACGATTGGCAGACTCCGGTTATATGCTTGTGTATGTGGCCGATTAGGCGTTATAAGAAACAGTTTTCAAATCTGTCGTATTTACATATCCTTTTTAAAGGAATCATTCTTTTGGTTACAGGATTTCATCATGAGCTGACATCAGTTAGAGAACCATTGGAAAACCAGCCAGGGAGTACTGGACAGCTGTTTCCACTGTCCTGGTTTGGGACTCTTCATTAGTACGCACCCACCACCAGTGTTCGAACTCAGGATCTTCTGGTTACAAGGCTAGCGAGATAATAGACCATTGACCCACTGGAATCCGATCCAATGGTCCTTGAATTCTAACTTCTGCCAATTCACTACATAGCGCAACCCCCTGACATTGGCTAGAAGAAGTTGGAATTCATGGACTGGCGATTGGTTCGGGTCCCAGTGGCTGGATGGTCTACGAGGTCGCTGGTCTTGTCACCTGAATGGTGGTGGGTGCGCACTCATGAAGAGTCCCAAACTAGGACAGTGGAAGCAGCTGTCCAGTACAGTACTCCCTGGCTGGTTTTCCAATGGTTCTTTAACTAATGTCAGCTCATGATGAAATCCTGTAACCAATCAACCAAATCCCTACAAACCAACACTTGAATAATCATTTTTTTCTTTTCCTTATTTAGAGAAACATCAGATAGCGATGAACCAATACCCAAAAAAGTAACAGAAAGTCCTATTATTGGACTATTGAAACGTTTAACATTTCTAAGTCCACTGAATTGGTTAAAATCAACATCCAAAGGAGTAGGACCAGGAGGCGATGAAAACAGTCAAACATCTTTAGATCAATCAATTCCATGTGAAAATAACCCATCTACAAACCGGGCACTTGTTAACAACACTACAACTTCTAAGCCTGGACTAACAACAACAACAAATAAGCGTAGAATATCAGCAACAAGTATCCAGCGTTCACATTCTTCTACAGATGAACCTGAAGTGAAAAAACCTTCCCTGATGAAAAGGCTAAAAGAGATTTAAATCGCCAAGAAAAAGAAGGCGACGATCCGGCCGTCACCATTGCCGCTGCTGGCGCCGACGTTTATTTACCACATTATTTAATGGATATTTATAGAGCGTTACCAGGAAATGAAAATGAATTAAACACCTTTAATCCACCGAATTTATTTGAAAAGAAGAAGCCTTCTCCATCGTTGTCAGTTTCACCTTGCCCTCACCTATCACCGGTATCAACGGCTGCTTCTGCTGCCGTTGTTGACATGTCAAAATTTCCTAACTGTTCCCAATTGAATGAATATATACATGCTCTATTATATACAGCTTCAGTTAAATCATAACTTGCTACTGGCTTATGATTATTTTTATTCAAAACGCATTATATTTATTATAAGAGTTTATATATCATTCAAAGATCATTTTATTTTATATGTAAACACAAAGATACTCTCTATATGTACACAATTTCATATATATATACATATTTTGTTGGTTTGTTTATCTGTCTTATTATTATTATTCATCATTCCTTTAATATTGTTCAACGTCGATGAATTCTTAACAAGACAAATGCTTCATATGAATGAAATAACAAATGCGTTCTTACACGCCATACAAGATCAAATAAGAAAATCATAACTTCATGCAATTGACTGTTACGTGAGAGAATCATTTGTTTGTGTGTGTTTTCCCCCCAGAGAATTTACTTCTGAAAAAAAATATATATGTATAAATTAAAATTAAAAATAAATAAATCCCCACAAACCAACCCTTGAATATCAATGAGATGCTCACTAGCGACTGGCCCTATTCAGGTTGGTAGGTAGTTACCTGGGTGGGTTCTAGTGAGAAGTCGTGACCAGTAGGGTGCAACAGCCTAGATGAAGACGCTGACAAAATACAGTAGAGTCTTCTTGATTTAAGCAGCAATCTTTGAATATTTGGCATGCGATTCACCTGCTATTTTCAAATGTGAGATGATGCTATAGAACTGGACTACACTGACTCCCTCCTAGCTTAAGGAAAGGCAGAAGTGAAGTGGTTGATTGAGTGTGCTGACCACTTCACTTACTTGGGAAGTTGCATCAGCCAGCGTAGTGGGTTGATTGCTGACGAAATCTCAGCATGGATACATGAGGTTCGTTTGGCATTCGCCTGACAACTTACTCCATCTCTGCCTTAGTTAGTAGACGTGATATCCAGCTGGCTATCGATTGAAGGACGTGTGTACTGTTCAGTCACAGTTCTCTCCATCCTCCTTTATGGCTGACTGTGAGACATGGCCATTGAAAGTGGAAGACATGAAAAGCCCGGCTAGCTGTCTTTGATCATAAATGTCTGCGTTCTATCTCCCCTGTTAGGTGGTATAATACTGTGAGTAATATTGAGTTAATTAGGTGTCAAGTGCAAAGTGAAGAGGAAGAATCAATCGACGAGGTTGTGAAGCAGCTCAATCGATTGAGATGGTTAGGACATGTGTTACACATTTATGCCTAGCCATCGCTCTCCTCGACAATAGGCAATGTTGGCTGACTAACATATGGAAAAAAGAGAAAGTCAGTGGTGATCAAACCAAAATATGGCTTTATCAGTCAATCAAATCCATGGCAGTTAGTTTAAGCCAACCAACCACATAGGCAGGTGTAGACTGCCTGACTGACTGGTTGAAGTCTTCGAGATAGTACGAGTTAATGGAAGCTAGAGACAATTGGTGATATTGCTAAAAATCCTCGTTGTGAGTAGCTCTCTTTGGGATTTGTCATATCCAACAAAGCTCTACTGTTCTTCCCTTACACTTCTGTTTATTATCTCTCTCTCTCTCTTTTGAATCTCTCTTTACTCTCCTCTATTGCTTTGTGTGCTACATGGAGTGGAGTGTGGCAACTAGAGCTGCTGCACATCTGTGTAGCGTTCTACGTTGAAACCAGGCAGTCACTCAGTCAAACTCAATAAACAGTGCTCAAAATTTACACTTGTATGGTTTATACCTAGAAATTTCACGTTTAAATAAAATAAATAAAAACTTGAACACAGCGGCAAAGGAGTTACGCAATAACGACAAAAGATGATGAGTAACTAATAAGTTGAGTAACAATGTGATGAGTCTATCTCAATTCATAAAAAACAAGAGACAAGCAAATTAACACTGTATCAAATGAGGGAAAAGTTAAGACTAAAGATTACATAGTCAAATGAGAAAGAGAGTACAGACATCCAGTTACCAGGATAGTTGTTGAGAAGCCAACAAAATAAAAGATGATGGTACCATCTTATTCTGCACAAAACAATGTTATTCTTGCTTGATTTAAATTCATAAGATGGGGAATAAGCGTCTGAATGTAATTCATTAGGTATCGCTAACCGGTTAACCATAATATAGAGAAAAAATAATTCCCAGTTAGAAGTAAAAAATTAGGATAGAGTGGAGAGTTATTTACACTTCAAATAAATCCTCTTTCATGGCTCTACTTTAAAATATAAATATATTCATTTACACAGAATCCCGGTTGTTTTCAGTGAAATGCAAATCGGCAATTTGTTCCTCACCCGATGGGTGATAAAATAAGACACTGTAAAACTGGCTTTTTATATCCTGTGTGAAGAACCAGGTGATATTAGATGGTTGGAGGCAATCGGTCACAGGAAGCCTTTCCTGACGTAGGTTTCCTGCTAGTGTTGGCACTTAACAGTCAGTAAGGCGTATCTGCGACCTTGAAGGAACTCATGTCCCTTCTGAGGTTCGAACTCGCATTACTTGACTGATAGAATTCAGTCCGCACCAGACAAAGGAGTAGACATTACGCTAGTTATTAACTAAAATTCAATCAAAAGTATCCCATATAGTCCTGCAGGAGGTCAATCGCGAGACTGAAACGGTTAGGGTATAATAAGGTGAGCAATATTGAGGAGGAGGAGAAATCAATCAACGAGGCTGTGAAATTACATCGACTGACATGATTAGGATATGTGTTACGTATGTCTAGTCATCGCCCTTCTCGACAACAAATAATGCTAGCTGACATAGGGTCAGGCTGGAAAAGAGCTCGCGGCGGTCAAACCAAACCATGGCACCATTCAATGAAATCCACAACAGTTAGTTTAAGCCAGTCACGTAGGGAGGTGCATACTTCTTGGTTGGGGCCCTCGGGATGGTAAAAACCAGTGGTTGGAGACAATTGGTGATATGGCTCAAAGAGATCGTTCCCAGTATCTGGTGCAGATGCATCCACTCCTTGTGACTTATGATTTCCAATGAAACTGTTTTGTTCTTCGTTATTACTATTCCTTTGTCTTACACCTCTGATTACTGTCTCTAATATGCATTTCTTCTGTTGCTTTGTGTGCTACATGGAGTGTGGCAACTTGAACTGGTGCACATCGGTGCAAAGTTCTATGTCGAAAACAGACAGACAATCGCGAGACTAAATAGCTCAGTGGTAACGTCTCTGACTGCAGCACTGAGTAACGCGTGTACGAATCCCAGAAGGAACATGAGTTCCTTCAAAGCTGCACATACGCCTTGCTCACTGACTGTTGAGTACCAACCAGTACGAAACCTAGGTCCCAGCAGGGCTTCCTGCCAACTGCCTCCAACCATCCACTATCAACGATTCAAAGTGCACTGTGATAGCGGGCCATTGCAAGCTTGACTGATAGAATTCAGTCTGCACCAAAGATAAGACTAGATACATTACACTAGTTACTGACTAGTATCCAATCAAATACATATGCATATATATCTATTGATTGATTGTTCTTACTACATTTCTATCCAGCCATACAGATACAGGTATTCGAAGCACGGAAAACTAATTCCCTAGAGAAACGGTCAGTATGGCTAGCTTCAAATCGGTTGTTCAACTGATAGATGCAAGAAGAGTTGGTCAGTCTGATTACTTTGATCTTTCAGTTTGGGAATCACAAGCAGACGAGTGAAAAATTCGAAAAAAAAAGACAAACATATTGATGTACTGCAGTAACCTAAGAAGGAAGGAAAGAGAGAATTGGAATTTAACTCCAATGAAATATACCAGAGACAATTAGACATAAAGTGGACTGCACATGAATATGCCGGAGGCATTGTCTAGAAATACTCTTTATATGCAATCGCCAGATGTCTGGCATGTGAACACGCTGTTAGAAATAGAAAACATAACAACAAGAGTATTTAAGTGTTAGTGTGTTCACTTAGGATGAGGTTTAGAAGACAAGGGTGAAAAAAAATCTATGTAGTGACAATCTAATCAGAGTGTCGAATGTACCGACGATTAATAATAAAAAGACAATTGATAGAGTCAGTAATGCAAGATTATGACAAAACAATGTGTTCTTCATATTTGTCTGTTTTTATTTCAAAGACAATAAGGATTGAACGAAGGAAACAGTTACTTTCCAATCAGGTTTTCATCTATGGTACCACTACTCTACTGGATGTACAGCAATTTTAGTAAAATACAGAATTATACCAATTTAGTGGTAGTGATAAGTTTGTTAACAATGTACAGTTAGTTAGAGAACCAATGAAAACCAGCACGGAGTACTGGACAGCTGTTTCGTCATCCTAGTTTACGAATCATCGGCAGTATGCACCCGCTGTGGCGGTTCGAGCCCAGGACCTTCCGGTTACAAGGCAAGATAAATCTAATCCTTAGAAACCAACTCTTGAATTTTAATCTGATGCTCGCTAGACAGATTTTCCTGGAGTTCTTATGAGGTTCATTCAGTCAACTGTGAGGACGAATGTCTCACAGATGACATTGGTTGGTGGTCGCGCTAAATCACAAATTGGTGGAAGTTAGAATTCATGTACTGGCCATTGAATTGGATGCCACTGACTGAATGGTATACGAGCTAGCTTGCCTTGTAACCGGAAGGTCCTAGGTTCGAACCCCCCGCAGGGTGGCTACTTACTGATGATGATTCCCAAACTAGGATGAAACAGCTGTCCAGTACTCAATGCTGGTTTTCAATGATTATCTGACTGATATCAATTCGTGGTCAAACTCGTAAAAAACAAATCTAATCCCTACAAACCAACTCTTGAAAAAATCTAGTTAATATCAACTGGTCAGAAACATTTCGAAAACTAAATAAATCGATTACAAACAAAACGATAAGAAGACGTAATTTATCTGAATCCTGTCATGTGTATTTGAGCAACACATCTCGAACAAGCTGATCACACATGGGCTTGACATAAGAATATATATACGAAAATAATGAAGTGTTACGGGTGAGAGAACAAACAAAGTTCAAGTTATAAGTTAATCTTGAAGGTCAAATAACGACAGAGATCAATAACCCAAAGAAGGGCGGCAACGTACTGTTGCCGCCCTTCTGC